TCCTTCCTTCCTTCCTTCCTTCCTTCCTCACTTCTCTCTCTCCCTTCCTTCCTTCCTTCCTTCCTTCTCTCTCTCTCTCTCTCTCTCTTTCATTCTTTCTTGGCAGCTGATCTACAGATGTGCCACCCAAATATAGAATGAGTCTTCATTACTTTTAATCTTGTCCAGAAACAGCCTAAAAGAGGTATGTTTTACTGTTTCCTCATGCACTTCTCAATCCAGTCAGTTGATAATCAACATTAATGATCACACTCATTTCTTCTCCCACTTTTCATGCCCTTAGGATTCCTAGACTTAGCTTAGGGACTATTGAGTGCATATATATGCACTGTACATACATACATACACTGTATATGCATGTGGATTTCCTATGAGAAGTGTGTGTGTGTGTGTGTGTGTGTGTGTGTGTGTGTGTGTGTATGTGTATGTATATGTTCATGTATGTGTGCCAGTACTGAGGCTTGAACTCAGGGCCTAGGTGCTGTCCCTTAGCTCTTTCACTCAAGGCTGGTGTTGTTCTGCTTGAGCCACAGCTCCATTTCCAGTCCTTTGGTGGTTAACTAGTGATAAGAGTCTTAGAACCTTTCTTGCCTGCGTTGATTTCAAGCCACTATCCTCATATGTTAGCCTCTTGAGTAGAAGCCAGGATTACAGGCATGAGTCAGCAGTTCTGGTGGGATGGGGCCTTTCTAGTACACACATGAACGAAAGAGAACTAAGAACTTTCAGTTGTACACAGAAAAGTCTGATTATAGTACAATCAATGAAAACAGATATTCTTTAAAAGTTTTTGTATGCAATATTAGTGGGCCAGATAGTTTGCTGCATTCAGGTGTGGTTAAATGCTTAACTTTGAGCCCAGGACACAAAGAATTTTCCTTTTCATGATATAAATTTATACTATTCTTCATAGAAATCTTAGGTCTTTTTTTTTTGGGTCTGTCGTGGGGCTTGAACTCTGGGTTTGGGCTCTGTCCCAGTGCTCTTCAGCTCAAGGCAAGCACTTTACCGCTTGAGCCACAGCACCACTTCTGGTTTTTGAGTGGTTTTTTTGGAGATAAGAGTCTCACAGAGTTTTCCTGCCCCGGCTGGCTTTGAGGCTGGCTTTGAACCTCGGTCCTCAGATTTGAGTAGCTAGGATTACAGGTGTGAGCCACCGGCACCCTGCAAGGTCTTGTTTTTTATGGCTTTGAGCTATTCCTGTGCTAGCTTAAAATTGATACAAAAAATAGGGAAATCTTTCTTGCCTTTTATATTTTGGGAAGTGGAGTTTATTTCTTAAAGCCTCACTTATATTTTATTAGTACTTTATTAGGTTACAGAACATGTTTAGAACTAAATGCCATTTGGTATCCCAGTGTGGGTTGTCCTCATCAGGAGATACTCAATGTCTGTTAAATCTGAGATAAAGGTCTCAACTATGGTGGCTAAGTAGGTCATTTTATTCATTAACTGAGTGGGCAACTGTGACATCATTCCTCAGTTTGCCATTTCCTGAATGCCTTTTGGCAATAATGTCCCACAAGGGACATCATAAGCTTTCCTGCTGATGGGAAGACAACCTAAATTTTATTTGGAAATGTTGGGCTAAATGTCTTTATGTTGGACATGTGCCTCAAGTTTGGGGTACACAGGGCCACCTTAGCCTTGGTGGCTACAAACTGTAGAGCCCTTATTGACTATCTCCTGTTTTAGGAATTTACTTGAATGATTAATAGAACTTGAGAAGCACCACACTTAGAATTGTAGTTCATTAAATAAGGATGCAAATTAAAGCTAATCAAGTGACATGTGGCATAAAATCTGAGAGAGTCCCAGTGCAAAGCTTCTGGCTGTCTTTTCTCTGTGGAATCATCAACAGTGCTACCTGTTCTAGGTGAGTATCACTACTCAAGTTGACTAGTTAAAAAGGACTGTCAACCACAGAAATTTACCACAGCTTCTATGTCCAGTTTGTATGGGTGTTTCATGATACTGCTTGTGTATTTCACTTTCAGTTTTAGAAGATTAGGCTAATACATATAGTGTCAACTCTCCTGTCAATCTGACAGGAGAGCCTTTCCTGACCCACCAGGCAAACAAAGATAACACCTATCAGGCAGGGCATTCTAGGGCCATCTCCCAGTAATTGAGGGCAAAATCCAGTCCATACACATCTGTCTAAACATAGGAGGGCTGGGAAGGTGGCTCAGTGGTAGAGTGCTTGCCTCGCATACATGAAGCTCTGGGTTCGATTCCTCAGTACCGTATAAACAGAAAAAGCCAGAAGTGGTGCTGTGGCTCAAGTGGTAGAGTGCTATCCTGAGCAAGAAGAAGCATTAGGGATGGTGCTTAGGCCCTGAGTTCAAGCCCCAGGGCTAGCAAAAAACAAAACAAAACAAAACCCCCAAACACTGCTTTTAGCCGGGTGCCGATAGCCTGTATTCCTAGCTACTCAGGAGGCTGAGATCTGAGGATCATGGTTCAAAGCCGGCCCAAGAAGGGAAGTCCATGAAACTCTTATCTCTAATAAACCACCAGTAAACTGGAAGTGGCTCT